ATTGTTTGTTTGCTTTAACAGACACTACACCTTGAACTTCAATGTTTCTGCCATAATAATTACTATTAGACTTTAAATTAATGGAACAGTGTTTCTTAACATTCCTGCGCTACTGTAAACATTCACTGGTTACCAAATCAAAGGAGGTGTGTAAAACAATGGAACTTGTTTGGCGAAATGATTTTACCAAATTAAACGGGAAGATTAAGAAATACAACTTTAAAATCTGACCGGTTCATACCATCAAATGAAAAGCTAAATTTCTTTGGACATCTACTTCAAAACTGGTGATTTGACAAACATTAAAATATTATCAATATATTTAAATGTTTTAATACAATCATTTCAGAAATAGATTAGAAATTGACACTTCTAGAAATTTGTTACATCCACCTGTCTGTCAATGAGGCAGCTGGTCCTATTACTGCCAGGATGTTTGGTAGAGAGACAGCAATTGCCCAGAGTCTTGCAAAGACTTCTGATTTAGCTGTATTGGTAAGTATGTGATTGGACGGATACAGAAAGTCTGGGCGGGTTAGAAGGGGATGACTTGCAAAGGCTGCAGACAAGAGAACTGCAAGCTGTTTTTATATATGGCCAAATGAAAATAAAAGCGTGGTTTGTGATAGTTTGGCAGTGGAGTGTACCCTTTAAAATCTGTTTAAGGAACAACAATAATTAGATCCTGATTCTGTGTGATCTATTTAACAGCAGATCAGCTAATTTCTAGCATTCGCCAATTTTCTCTTCCATGTACTGTTAAATCCGCTCAGCTACCAGGTTCTCATTTTGTGCTGGCATCACATGCTCTCACGCAGACTTTAAAAAATATATATATTTTTTTTTTATTAACATTTACCGATGGGTTTAAGAATTATGAGAGAATTCAAAAATGTCCACCTCCTCAAAAACTGTCAGATCTAAGAGCAGGAATGACAGATACGTGTTCCATAGCTTACTTAGATAAACTATAGTAATCTGTTTTGAGTACTGCTTTAACCCCTTGAGGACACATGACATGTGTGACATGTCATAATTCCCTTTTATTCCAGAAGTTTGGTCCTTAAGGGGTTAAAGGTCTAGGCACGCCGTGTAGCGATTATGGAGTTAAGCCCAGTTTCTTGGGCAAACTGTTTAAAGGAACACTATAGTCACCTAAATTACTTTAGCCAAATAAAGCAGTTTTAGTGTATAGATCATTCCCCTGCAATTTCACTGCTCAATTCACTGTCATTTAGGAGTTAAATCCCTTTGTTTCTGTTTATGCAGCCCTAGCCACACCTCCCCTGGCTATGATTGACAGAACCTGCATGGAAAAAAAAAAACTGGTTTCACTTTCAAACAGATGTAATTTACCTTAGATCATTGTATCTCAATCTCTAAATTGAACTTTAATCACATACATGAGGCTCTTGCAGGGTCTAGCAAGCTATTAACATAGCAGAGGATAAGAAAATCTTAATTAAACAGAATTTGCAATAAAGAAAGCCTTTACAGGAAGTGTTTATGGAAGGCTGTGCAAGGCACATGCAGGGAGGTGTGACTAGGGTTCATAAACAAAGAGATTTAACTCCTAAATAGCAGAGGATTGAGCAGTGAGGCTGCAGGGGCATGTTCTATACACCAAAACTGCTTCATTAAGCTAAAGTTGTTCAGGTGACTATAGTGTCCCTTTAAGTGATTTAACCAAAACTGACGGTCTCATACGCATCCTCTAGATTCGCCCCCTTTTCACACAGAGATGTACATTACAGCTATGCCCGTGCAATTGTTCCAACGCATACATTACCACAATGCATGGTATAAAAACTATTTTAAAAAAAATAAAATAGTATTTTTACAAACAAATTTAGCCAGTGCAAAGCACATTAACCCCTTAAGGACCAAACTTCTGGAATAAAAGGGAATCATGACATGTCACACATGTAATGCACCTACAGCTTATTTAAATTGTTCTGGTGAGTAGAATCATTACCTTTAAGCTTTTTGCTGTAAACACTCTTTTCAGAGAAAATGCATTGTTTACATTACAGCCTAATGATAACTTCGCCGGCCACTCCTCAGCTGTTAGAGAGCATTCCTGGGTCACTGCTGCCTAAATTTCATCCAAACATGGTGTCTCCACCCTATGCATGTAGAACTGAACTTTCCTCATAGAGATTCATTGATTCAATTCATCTCTATGAGGAGATGCTGATTGGCCAAGGCTGGGTTTGACTTGTGCGGTGGGCAGGTCTAAAGGAAATTGGGACTAAGTAAGCAGCTGCAGACTTGACGCCACAAAGTAGATTTTACTACATTTGAAGGGCATGCAGGATGGTGGCTGAATGGTGGTTTTTATCCCCTATAAGTCAGGAATGCATGCCTGTGTTCTGGGATGCCTATAATTTCACTAAATGACAGGCGATTTTTTAAATAAAAACTGTTACAATCAAGATATTTATTACTTTACCTTTAGTGCTAAAAAAAAGACACAGAAGTACATTTCCTATTTCTAATGACTAAATTCTGATGGTCATATAATCACCAATTTCTGGCCAGGGAAGATATAGTTAAGAGCTAGCATTCCTTGTTTACAGTGTATGCTATTCTTTATGTGGCTCCATATAATCCAGTCTCAAACAACCATATCACAATTCCTTCTATAAGGCAAATAGGGGTCCTGTAAGAATCTAAATAAAAAAATAATAATAATAATGGTAGAAATAGCTTTTTAGATTTTGACTTGAACACCTGAACTACCTGAGAACATTCACACTGCGCAAACCATTCTTTCACTTGCAGCAGCTATGCTTTGAGGAAGAAATAGAATATTTGGTTTAGAATACAATCAGTACCTAATCTTGCAGGTGATTCATGCTTTCAGATGGATTATCAGTTGATCCAGTAGTTTATCAGTATCATTTGGCAGATCACCTGCCCTGCCGACTACTAGAAAATAATTGTATCTTAGACTATCAATGAGATGACTGATAGTCCGTTGTAAACATCACATCAGTTGCAAAGTTAATACAAAACAAAATATTCCTACATCAAATCAAAATGATATTCATGGGAAGAAAAATATCAAAATATGTTTTATCAAGACACAAAATACTCTTAACTAGAGTGATGCAGTAGTGGTTCTGGCTCCATAGAGTGGCGTCAGAAAGGAGTAATGGCATTTTGGTTCAGTGATATTCGGCACCTTGAAAATGAAATACTGTTTGCATTATAGGACACCGTTAAAAGCACAGTAACGTAGGGCATGGAGTCCTGAGTGAAAGTTTTTGATATATGCCTTTTGCTCAGTTACTGCAAATTACTATTGGTCACCTATAAAATATGTAGCAGCAGCGCACTTGGTATAAGTATGGCTTGACAATGTGATCCTCTAGCAATATAGGGTCAAACATTACTTTCTGATTGGCCCTGGATATACTCATTCATTTTGTAGCCATACCTTTAAAAATCAACATTTAGCAAAAGCACCTGAGTTAAGTCTGCAATAGTTGGAAGACAGTCCTTGGTTAAGATTTCCAGTTTCAAATGCCAATACTAGAGGAGTGTTCTAGCACCTGACTGTAGAAATATTCACGGATATTTTTTCATCAATTCGAGGATTTCGTTGTACATGCGATAAGGTGCATCTAATCCCCAGATGAAATCTAGATGTTCCCATTCTGGAATCTCCTTGTGATAAACCAAATTACTGACTTGTGTAAGCAACATGGCAATATCCTTGCGGTCTGCTAGCCAGTCATTGCCTCCAGTCCACAGGGCAGTTGGGACCTTCATATTTCTCACATTGTACATAGGGGGAGTGCTCTGAAAGAAAAAGCACGGTCAGAATAATATGGTGCTTAGGTTTCCATTACAATCATTCTCTTCACACAAGTTATTTTTCGGGGCACAAATATGGACGCACACAATAAGGTGAATTTTAATACAGAACCTAAAGAAAATATGTGATGGAAATCAGCTGATGTGGGCCCATTATGACATATTACATATGCACATCAGGCATTATATTCTATAAAAAGACTATACATACAATTCTAACATTAAAATGGTTCCAAGCATTTTATAGAAATCTATTAAACTGCTATAATAAACAAGGAAATAAGAGAAAATGGTAAGTGGAAACAACAATGTTAAAATAAGAACAAAACAAAATGGCTGCACCCAGAGCCTTGCACCAGAATGACTACAACAAGCTGTAATGGTTATGGTGCTTAAAGTGCCAAGACCAGTTATGCAAGTCTCTAGTTTTAAATGTGTATGTCTAATAAACCTACATTGATCAGTCACAACATTAAAACTACCTGCCTAATATTGTGTAGGTCCCCCTCGTGCTGCCAAAACAGCTCTGAATTGTCAAGACATGAAATATCCACAAGACCTCTGATCATGTCCTGTGGTATCTAGCACCAAGACATTAGCAGCAGATCCTTTAAGTCCTGCATGTTGCAAGGTGGGTTATCTATGGATCATATTTGTTTTTCTAGCACATCCTACAGCTGCTCATTTGTATTGAGGTCTGGGAAATATATGTAGGCCAAGGCAACACCATGGCCTCTTTATCATGTTCCTCAAACCATTCCTGATCAACAGTGTGGCATGGTGCATTATCCTTCTGAAAGAGCCCACTGCCATCATAGAACACCACTGCCATGAAGGGGTGTATGTGGTTTGCAACAATATCTAGGTAGGTGATGTTTGTCAAAGTAACATGAATGCCAGGTCCAAAGGTTTCCTACAAGAACATTGCCCAGAGCATAACACTGCCTCCATGAGCCTGCCTTTTTAATGGTCCAGTTCTTGATGCTCATGTGCCCATTAGAGGCGCTTTTGGCGGTGGATAGGGGTCATCGTGGGCACTCTTAGCGGTTTGCATTTAGTCAGCAAACTGTGATGCACATAGTGTTCTGACACCTTTCTATCATGGGCGGCGTTACGTTTTTCAGCAATTTGAGCTACAGTAGCATTTCTTTGTAATCGGATATTCGCTCCCCACTTGCATTAATGAGACTTCGGCTCCCATGACCCTAACGCCGGTCCTTCCTTGCAACACTTATTGAAGGTATTAACCACTGCATATCTGGAACATCCCACAAAACTTGCAGTTTTGGAGATGCTCCGATCCAGTCATCTACTCATCACTATTTGTCAAAGTCACTCAGATCTTTTCGCTTGCCAATTTTATCTGCTTCCAACACATGAAACTCCAGAACGGACTGTTCACTTGCTGCCTAACATATCCCAGCCCATGACAGGTGCCGTTATAACAATATCATTACTTTACCTGTCAGTGATTTTACTGTTGTGGCTGACCAGTGTAGCTCATTCTATTGGAAAGACAGCTGTGCAGGAATGTTTCCATACACAATTGACATATGAGGCAATTGTAGCTAACAGGAGAGTTTTACCAAATGTACAAACTATTTAAAACGTGTAGATATACAAATTCTTTCTAAATCATGTAATAATCTTTCAAGTCAAACAAATAAATCAGAACACTATGGCAATACAAATGGATAAGTTAAGGCAGTTGTTTTTTTATTTATCTCTATTACTTTCAGGTTATGGTACTCAGGGTTATTCTCTAAACCAGGAATTGTGAATTCTAGAAAAAAGTAATCCCAATAGAAAAATGGTGTTTCTCTGTCAAATGGTCTCTGGTTCCGCACATTAACCCCTTAAGGACCAAACTTCTGGAATAAAAGGGAATCATGACATGTCACACGTCATGTGTCCTTAAGGGGTTAACAGTCTTCCACACTGCTCATGAGGGCAGGTCCTGTATATGTTTGTTACATGCTCGGGTGGATCTAAACCTGGTATGCTCATTATTCCATCATAGGTTATTCGTGTCCCGGTCCACTATTTAGCCCATACACTATCATTTGACGTGCACCATGTTCCGTGTGGTTAATCCCTTCTCATGAGCGGTTATTAAAAAATGCACTTCAGTCTTCTACTTGTTAAAGCATTGATGTTCTATGATGGAATCCATATTGAATTTTTTTTCTACATTCTGTAATTGTTCATAATTTTGCCCTTGGGTTATTTATCTGGTTTTACATTCAGCTGCCTGCACAGAACATTAGCTAATCTCTCACCTTCCACATGTCTTATTCTGTTTTCGAGAGGTTTCCTAGTTACCTTAATGCAGTCTACCAATTAGGTGTTAAGTAAACTATCACTTTTTCTATGGCTGTGACCAATCATATGAAGGACCAGTAATACATATTTTTGTCAAATACCCCTGAGGGACGTAAAGAAGAAATAAGCGTTTTGTTACCTGGTTATAGTGAGCCATATTTCCTCTGTAGCCCCAATCAAAACCCTTTAATTCTCCAGATTTGACAGCCTAAACAATAAAGAACAAAGGAAAATGTAAAAAGAAATTGCTAGCAAGGCATTAAAACATGAAATATATCTAACAAATTAAATTCTGACAACTACAGAGTGATTAATAAATATATTGGAGAGAAATATACTTTAGAACATTATTCCTAATGGAATATCTAAGTGATATAAATATACCAAAATATTCTGTGCACTAGTCTACTTTTAAAGGAACAGTATAGCGTTAGGAATACAAATGTGTATTCCTAATGATACAGTGCCCTGTTGGCTGTAGGGAGTAAAATTTGTTGTTTACCTTTTCTTCCTCACAACGCTGGTCTCTGCAGGGAAGCTCACAGAGATTGATTATCTCCCAGGGTAGCATTGAGCGGCTAGTGTGCATGCGCAGTCACTAGAGGAATTTAAATCCTGCGATGAAAGCATTGCCGTTCTGCAGAGCGTCAAAGTTTTCACTTGCAGGGCTAAAACGGGGGACATGGCACCCAGACCACTTTACTAGTCTAAGTGCCTGTAGTGTCTTAAATGAATCTCAGCAGACACATGTAGTAGAAAATATACGGATATATATAAAATCAAGATAAATATCCTACCAAGGGCCTTGAAAGTCATTTGTCATTATTTGCAGATGAAACAAAACTAGGTAAGAAAACATGACATAACGTCTACAGAGGGATTTGGATAAATTGGGGGACTGTGCAGGCAAGTTGCAAATGAGATATAATACTGATAAATGTAAAGTCCTGCATTTTGGAATAAGGAAACCACAAGTCACTTATACATTATATGGGGTTGTGCTAGGGATAACAATAAACGAAAAGGACTCAATTATAGATCACAAACTAGACAACAGTCAGTATGCAATGCCTGTCTACTGTTGCATAAGCTAGTAAGGTGCTTCCATGTATAAAAATGGGTTTTGATTCATGTGATCCAAATATAATTTAGCAGCTTTACAAATCTATGGTAAGACCCCACCTTGAATATGCGGTGCAGTTTTGGGCACCCGTTTTAAAGAAGGATATTGCAGAACTAGAAAAGTGTAGCGAGCTACAAAACTAATAAGGGGGATGGAAAGCATTTGTCATGAGGAAAGGCTATAAAAATTGGAATTGATTTCTTTAGGCTATGATA